GGCTTTGTTCACATTTAGAGTGAGATGGAGAAGGCAGCTGAACATGCGTGGATGGTCCTGGGATAAAGCTGGGGGGCCCTGGATGATGCCAAAAGCTGAGCTGATGCAGGGCAACAGGACGGCACTAACCGTTGCGAAAGGGACATGGAATAAGCCAAAGGCAAGGGAGGAAGACCAAGCCCTCTGTGAGCCCCCCCCCCCACGAGGGAAAAATGCATCTGTGCAACTGCCGCAAGGCTCCCTCTGAACAAGGTAAGCAAGGCTGGCCAAACCAAACTATCCACATCCCTTTGGCCCAGCCTGGGAATTGAAATATTGATTGAATATATATTTTCACCTCCCCTTTCTCCTTACAAAGGAACCAAGACAGCTTACATAATTAAAAAGACAATGTTTAAAAGCTAAAAAGAGTCATAAGTGTGAATAAAGTGAACCTCAGTCTGGACCTGCCTGGGGGGAGAGAAGAGACCGGCCCCAGGCCCCGGCCGCCCTCTCTGTCCGCTCTAGGGGGAGCAGCCGTGTGGCTTTGATTCCACGTGTTCCCAAAATGAAGGGAAACGGAAAAGGAGTGGAGAAGAAGAAGAGTACTGTACTGTGGCACTTTAAAAACTAAGGAACTTATTTCAGTCTGAGGTTTCCTCAGTCCAAAGTGACTAAAGTTCATAAAGAGACACATTCCTGATTCTTTAAAGGGCCCCTCAGTGTCCTGACCGTGCCCACCCCACGTCCAGGCTAAACTCTTGCTTTTCATAGAGTCATAGAAGCGTGAAGTTGGAAGGGGGCCTCTAAGGCTAGCCAGTCCCACCCCCTGCTCGATGCAAGGAACACAAATGAAAGGCCATCTGCCAGACGATGGCCTTCTCTGCTGTTTAATTGTGCCAACCTGTGCGCCATAGTTTTCTGGGCTACATTCTGCCCCCCGCAAACCTGTGCCCACCGGCTGTCCTGCTGAGGGCAGCTGCTTCCTCCTCCCTCTTGCTGCAACCCGCTTCAGTCTGGGAGCACGGTGAGCGTCCCTGCCTTCAACACGTCTGGGTGGCCGAAAGGACCGGCTGCCTTCTGTGGCTGAGACATTACACGGCTCTCAGACAGGGCAGCCGGGCCACCATGGCGCAGGCCCTGCAACACCTGGGATAGACTGCTGCCATGGACTCTCTACACAGGCAGCCCTCAGAGACAGATTGGAAAACAGCTGCCCACGGAGGGCACCCCACCCCAGTGGCTCCCAGTAACACTCTCGGTCTGCTGAAGGAACCGGCCAGTCCGCGGGAGCTGAGCAGGCCCGACCCAAGCAGTCAGAAAGGAGGAGGTTGGCTATCCTAAACCCAGAAGCTGGCGCCCAAGGGCCCTGCGCCTTCCCTGTGGCTTAGAGTAGCAACCCCCAAGACACAGCACCAGAGAGGGGGCTGGGCTGGTGGGGAAAATGCGAATGTGTTTATTTCCTGCCGGTGCAAATCGAGTGTGATTGAGGAACAGGACACGCAAATCGCTCCCCATCCATCCACAAGATGTGACACACACCCCCAAATCCCTTTTCTCTGGGTGTGTACATTTACACACACCTCTACTAGAAAAAAGTGGTGACTTGGAATCGAGATTTCCCCCAGCCCCCCCCCCCGAGACAGAGGCTTCCCAGTCTCTCCAATGGGTATTTTTTACAAGTCAGCCTCTCTCACAAAGGCTCCTTTCTGGTTGGGGGGGGGTGACATCAGAGTGGGCAAGGTGGTACCACCGCCGTTCCGCAAGAGATCAGGACAAGGACAAACAGCTTCGCTGCTGCCCATTAGCCTTCGAAGCACCAGCTAGAGACAGCTTCAAAACAGGGAAATGGGCAAAGGGGATGCAGGCATCCCAAGAAATACCCTCGGAGCAGAAGGGCCGGGGGTGCAGAGAAAGACCGCAGGACACCCAGTAGGGTTCAGCTCTGGCAAGGAGCTGTGCCAGCACAGGACCAGCCTGGACCACTGCGGCAGTCAAGGAACAGCCCCCCCCCGGCTTTCCAAAGAGAGAGGGGAGTGTGCTTGCAAGCAGAGGGGAGGGCAGGGCCCATAGTGCAATCCTAGCCTCTCGGAGGAAGCACCTGTGGGGCCAGGCCTGTGGGCAACCCTTGAGTGTGCCTCCTGCCCAGCAGGAAGGAGGAGGACGGAGCAGCCACCACTGGCCCGCAAGGAGCCTGCTGGGAGAGGCCATGGCCGGAGGGGTTCTGACGCTTGTGGGCAGCCTGGAGTCTGGTCAATCTGAAAGCCCGTCGCATCAAGAGGAGGAGGAGGAGGAGGACGCCCCCAGCTCCACAGCCATCGGGTCTGTATGGGAACCACCCCTGGAAGGGGAAGAAAGACATCCCCCAAGCCCCATCCGCTCCTAGCATGGGCTGTGGGAGAGAAGTATGCTGCTGCCAGGGTGCTCAGCCCGATGGGACTGCCAGGCAGGGCTGCTGGGGCTTGCACGACAGAAGTGGGGGGGGGGACTGCCGCCTGGGGGAGGCCAAGCCAAGCCCATGGGTGGCGGTTGGCTGGCCTGAGCCTTAGGCCCCATAGTGGGGGTGCAGGTGGTCAATCACAGACTTGACGAAGTCAGAGGTGGTAGAATAACCGCCCATGTCCCACGTCCGCACCTACAATCCAACACAGGGAAATGGAAGAAAATGCTTGTAAGCAAAGGGGGAGTAAAGGCACGCAGAGGATTGGGGGGGGGGGGAGAATGCAAGCAGAAGCATATCCAGGCAGACAAAGGCGCACCTGGACCCCAACAGCCCCACTGGCTGTGGCCACCCCACCCCCTTTCAGCTACCCTCTGCAGCCGCAACTGAAGGACGGAGACAATCGCAGCAAACACCTCCCCCCCAGCTCCTCTCCACCCGGACATGACTGACTAGTAAAGGCTCAGTCTTCCTGCCTCTCCCCACTGATAAACCGGGCCCGTTGGAAGAGGAGAGTGGCCCACAGCAGGAGGCAAAGCAAGGCAGAGTCTGGGGGACAGGCGGGGCAGGGCGGGGGGGCTCACCTTGCCCACTTTGATCACCTTCCTCACCGCATCCGAGATCAGGGTCGAGTGATGTTCCAGGCTGGTGAGGAGCAGACAAGAAACACATCTTACCCGCTGAGGGCCTGCACGCTTTTGGCCCGATCCTCAGGCAACCCCTTGCGAGGCAGGTCCGACAGAGGGTCAGCAGCTTGCTTGAGGCTTCCTAAGTGGCCACCTGAGGACCCCCACCCCTCTTTCTCCCTCCCCAGACCGCCTCCACACTGCTCAGCCCAGCACCCATCCTGTCCCTCCCACAAGACGCTGAACCTACTTGAGGTGCCGCAACATGTTGGCGGAGGAAAGCAACATGGCTGTAGGGTTGGCGATGTTCCTGCCCACGGCTTGGGCAAAGGGGTGACGGGCGCCCTAAAAGGAGAGGAGCGAGAGGGAGAGATGGGCTCAGGGCCACCTTGGGTCCCGGCTCCCTCCCCCCCCCCGATTGCGAGAGGAGACAAGACCCCCAGCCGCGATCCTCACCATCTCAAATACGGCGTACTCTGCGCTGTAGCTTTCCCCGGGGACCACGCCGGCCCCGCCTACGAGGCCAGCGGCCAGATTGTCAATGATGTTCCCGTACAGGTTAGGCATGACCAGGACGTCAAACTGGTAGGGGTTTTGTACCAGCTGGAAGAGACACACAGCCCTGAAACATTCCATCCCTGGGACCCAGCTGCCGGTTAGTCCTCACCCTCAGGTTTAAAACCTTCTCCTCAACATGGCGCCCACCCCTGTGTGGCACTCTGTATAACACAGACGGCCTTCCTCAACAGGACCCAGAACAAGTAAAACATCTGCCTGGAACATCCAAAGAACCCTGGATGCTGAATCGGACCCAATGCCCGCCTCGCCCACATTTGGTGCCCACGTTTGGTGCCCATGCAGGACGCTCAGGGGAGCCCACAGGTGGGATGCAGGGGAGCCACAGCCTCCCTCCAGCCTTCCCAGCAACTGGTCTTGGGCTTTCTTGCTCCCATGACAGCCCCATCCTCTGCGAAAGCCGTCCAGTCCCCTTTTTGGGCTCTTCAAAGTGGGACTGTCCTCCCTCAAAAAGAAACCTTGAAATGGACTCCAACAGGACCCAGAAAAGGAGAGCAACCAACAGCAAGCATGGATGGATGTGCGAGACAGAAAGTGGCACACGCCGCCTGCATGTCCCCGAAGACTCTGCATTTGAACAAGGAAGCCTTGCTGGAACAGCAGCCAGGCAAAGAAAGCAGGCTTTTGGGCTGCCCGAGACACAGGAGCAACATGGATCCTTGGGGGGGGGGGCAGTTTGGCTTGTCACACGTCTTGGTGGACGGTGGTAGCCCCGTCCTTCTGATGGATCTGTGGGGTACAGTCCCCAAACCCCATTGGTCTTTAAGGTCCTGCCAGGCTCCCTCTCTGCCGAGGAGAGCAGCCCCCCATCCTTAGGGAATGCCCGGAGGTCTGAGCTTTTCTTTCCAGAGGCCATTCCTTCAACTCAGGCCACACAGCCCAGGCAGGAGTGGGTCGGGCCGCTGTCCAGAGCAAGGCCTGGGCCACAGGAAGGGAGAGACCGCCACTTTTGCCACGCCTATCCCCCTCCCCTCCCCCTGGCCAACCAGGCTGCTCTCTTGCCAAGCTGCTTTCCCCTTTTCATCCTAGAGAGACAGGCTGGCGGGGGGGGGCGAGCGGAGTGGCGGGGGTGAAGGACAGTGACCTTGTGCCTACTCACCTGCATGCAACAGTTGTCTATGATCATGGTGTCAAACTTGATTTTAGGGTACAACTCAGACACCTCTTCACAACAGCGCAAAAACAGTCCATCACCCAGCTTCCTGAGAGAGAAAGAGGGAGGGTGGAAAGTGAAAAAGAGAGGAGTACACTCACGGCTGTTTGACAGACGGGACGCTGTCTACAGAGCACAAAATTGCAAGACAGAATCAGGACCCAAACTGAGGGTTGTGCACAGCAAGCAGAAACTGGCTGCTTCTTCATGCTGGCAACTCAAAGGCATCCATGGGTTCCCCTCAGGATGTAAGGCCTCCGCCCCCCGCCCAAACGGTTGGAGACAGGCAAGAAGAGAAAGGGAAGGAGAGGCCTTGGATGGCTCATGTAGGGGGGGGCAGAAGCTGGGCAGGCAGAAGCAGCCAAGCCAGGCAGCCAAGCCTAGTGGGCACCTCCACCCCATGCGGGGCACCACAGAGGTAACCAGAGGGTCAAAAGCAAGGCTACCACCCGTGCCGAAAGACTCCCGTGAGGATTGCAGCCTGGAGAAAGGACCCAGAGGCATTGGTGTGTGTGTGGGGGGGGAACGCGTCATAAGGCGCGGCTTCTTTGCCCGTCCAGCCCCAACGATACACAGGCCCCTCCCCCTGCTGTGTTCCTCCACTCCCACACCACGTAGATGCCGAGGAGCCCCAATCCCTGCTCCTCCCCCTCCAAATGGTCGGGAACAGGTAAAGGAGCACCACGTTCCATCAGCAGACCATCCAAACCAACCAGGGAGATGAAACACATGTCTGTGGAAAACCATCGGCCCCCTCCCAAAGTGGACGGGTGACTCTGGGCGGCAGGAGAGCTGATGAATCCACACCCAGCGAGACACAGGGTGCTGGGAGGGAGCCGCTGGCAGTCCCCCCTCCCCTCCCCTCCCCTCCCCACTCACATGATGTTGGCTTTGTGGACGGCTGTGACCTTGGAGCGGCCCTTCTTGGTGGCAAAGTCGAAGGCGAACTTGGCGATGCGCTGGGACTTGGCCCGGGTAATGATCTTCATGCACTCAATGACCCCTTTGGAGCTCTGAGCCCGAGAACAAGAGGAAGCCGAAGCCTTGTGATGCTCCCTCCAGCGAGCGATTCTGCCCCCCTGCGCCAAGCCTCCCAAAAGTACACATAGCAAAAAGGAGGCTTCGCTGCCCCTCTGCCTTCCTTCTTGCCGGGGAACCCTTGAACTCCGGCCGTCTGCACACAACCGGGTGACGTAAAGAACGGGCGCCTGAGTTTCCATCCTTTTCCCTTTTGCCAACCAGAGGGAGACCTCCAGATACTGTTGGACTGCAAATCCCAGCATTCCTCACTACGGGCTACGCCGGCTAGGACTGGTGGGGGCTGCAGTCCTGGAATAGGCAGAGGGCTACAAGTGGCACCCCCCTACTCAAGAGTACAAAGCTGCCTTCCGCAAGCTGTCCCGAGAGCTTCTATGGGTGAAGATCCGAGTGATATTGCTTGAAGGACTCAATGGGAGTCTGCAGAGCCCATCCGTCTCCTTCGGAGCCAAGGAGCCAATCTGCGACCCTTCTCCCAACGGGGCAGGTAGGCTCGCTGCCCGCCCACCTGGACAGGAAAGAGCTCCGATCCCTTCCTTCCTTCTTCCTTGCTCCCTCGCTTCCAAATTCCAGAGGTAGTCATTCACCTGCAGGGGTCACATCCTTCCCCTTTCTGCAATACGTGTGAACTGAAAGAGCGCTCACCACCGCTCAGCGTGCCCTTTCTTCACTGGGGGACGCAAGGCCAGACCGTCCCCACAGAGGGGGCCCTCCTGACTAAGACCGAGGGACCACCCAAACCACAGTGGCAGTCTGCCGGGTGCCCACCTCGTGCTCCAGGGAGCTATACTCGCCCTCCGTCTGCTCCCGGATGATCACCAGGTCCAGGTTGTTGTGCCGCGTCTTGTACCCAGGCAGGCTGTTCACGTGAACCACATTTGCAAAGAGGTCCAGCTTGCGCCTGCAAGAGGGAGACAACTCTCAGGGACAGGGCCTGCCCACCCCCAGGTGGCCTCAGCCTCTCAAACATCCTGCTCCCCCCCCGCCCACATTCTCCTCTGCCTCAAAGCTGCTGTTGTTTCTGGGCAGCGCACAGGCCCCCGTTGGGCACCCTCGCTTCCTCCTCCCCAAGTGTACCTGAGCCGCATGTCGTAGGAGGCCAGTTCGCCCTTGTACTCCATGGGAGTGTGAATCTTCCCTGCAAGTACAAGAGATGCCCCCAGGATGAGAGAGGAGGAGGGGCCCTTGCTCCCAGAAGCCCCTGGGAATCCTCCCGCCCGCAAGCAGCAGGAAAGCAGCCGGCAGGCAGGCAGGCAGGATCCCGGTCCATTCCTCAGGCCCCTGTGGCTCTAAGGCTCTAGAGGTAGGAGCATAACAGCCAGGAGGCAACCTTGCTCCCACCACCACCGACCCCTGCCCCCCCCCATGCCATACCTATGATGGCCACCCTGCTGTTGTTCATGGAGCCCAGAATCTTGTCCAGGATCTCCTCTGAAGCCATGTTCTGCACCTCACTCAGGTGGTGCTCATCAAACTGCACAGGAACAGCAGCTGCCTGCAGGGAACCAGGGGAGGTGGTGAGGGGTTTAGTAGTCCTGACTGGCCAGGCGGCGCGCTGGGAGGGTTGTCCTGCCAGACGGGGTCTCTTCCCTGCCTGACTCAGAAGCCCATCAGGACCAGCACACGTGGAGGAATCTCCCAAGATCAGTCCTGGGTGAGCAGGCAAGCGGAGAGGGATTTCTCCAGCAACCCAGCATTCATGCCCTTCTAAAGCACACTGGCTTGCTCTGAGAGAGGATGCTCTTTTGGAGGCTGAACACAGATGATGAGCCTTCATTTCACTACCAGGTCCAAAGCTTCCTCCTCCATCTCCTCCTAAAAGCACCACCTCAAAGCAAGGCTCTTCGGGAAAAAGAGGTTACTCCGCCTTTCCCAGAAGGAAGCAAACGCTCTCACCTTGAAGACTTCTTTGACCGAGTGCATAAGCTCCGGGCCCACCCCGTCCCCTGGGATCATGGTCACTGGGAACACTCCCTCCGCCTTTGGGCTCTCTGCCTAGAACAGAAGACAGCTGTGTCACCTCCATCCTTGCCCACCTGGCAAAGCCATCTCACTCCCCACCTCCTTCCTTTGGAGGCAGGGAGGTTAAAATGAAGCCCAAAGGAAACCATGGACGCTGGTTTTGGGCAGCGCGGGGGAAGAGACTGGACAGAGGTGCAGAAAAACAAACAGTTACGAAAAGATACAACACAGCCGAAGGGTTCCTTGTTGATTTTTTTTCCTCTTTATTTATTTTGTTTGTTTAGACCAAGGGTTTCCAAACTATGGCCCATGGACCACATCCAGCCACTTTGCCATTTTATCTGTCCTGCTCCCTTCAGCCCTTGTGAGGGGGTGTGTGCGTGTGGGTAGGCGGGAATGCATGCAGACTGGTGGGTGCGTGCACACGTTCCTGTTCCTTCAACCCTCAAAGATTAAAATATCCAATGTGGCCCTCACGGTCAAAAGTTTGGAGACCCCTGGTTTAGACTTATACCCCACCCATTTAGCGGACAAGCCACTACTTTTTAACTTCCAAACCTAACCAGAAAACTGTCTCAGGCCACAACAGTCAAGTATGGTCGCAGCTGACTGGCAGTAAATCCTCAGAATCGCAGGCGCAAAAAGGACTTTCCTATCAGCAGCCGCTTAATGCTTCTAACTGGAGATAACAGGAGCTGAACCTGAGATCCTTAGGGAAGCAAAGCAGGTGCTCTACCTACTGAGCTTTGGGTCCCTCTGCCCACAAAATTCCATCTCGTACTGCTAGCTCTTGCCACTGTGGAAGGATCCCCAGAGTTAAGCCGTTCTCATCCTTTGCTTAATGAGGAGGACCAAGACTCAAGGGGGGGGGGAGGAGATGCAGCACCTCGTCCCCTTTGAAAGGGGAAGGGACGGTCTCACCTGGGCTTTCCTCTGCAGCCCTGCAGCTGAGGTGCCAAGGCTTCGCCAAATGCCGCCACTTGGAGGACGCAGGAGATGCTGCAAGAGAAACAGGAGAGAGTGGCTGACATGGACCACCTGAGGTCTTCATCACAGCCACCCTGAGGCAGACCTCCTTCTCAAGAGACAAGCAGCGGAGGCTTCCCTTTCTTCCCAAAGCCCCTCCGCAGCCAAGGGGGAAACCACAAGAGATGCCAGGAGACACCTCCTCTCCCCAAGATGCCTACATTTTTTCCTTCAGCAGCAGCAGCAGCATCCGGAGGCAGGGAAGTACCCTTTCAATCGTCCCATGGGCCTGCTTTAATCCCATCGGAGAAGCGTCTAAACTGTAGACGTCCTTGCATCTTTCACCAGGGAATATTCTAAATGAATCATTGCCAGTTAGCTGCATGAAGAAACACTTTGTCCCAAATCTATTTGCAATCAGTATCATTAAATGGCCCGATTATTATGAGAAGGGAGGGAGAGAGGGGGTCCTTTTCTGACCCATGCTGTGCACCGCTGCATAAGCCTCTACCCTGTGCTCCTTACCTGCAGTGGGGGTGGGGTCCTAAAAGTTCCCCAAACTTGCCTTTCCTCACTCAAAAAGCGTGCTGCTTATGTACCACCCCATAGCCTTTCAAGCACTCTCTGGGTGATTTACAAGTCAATCATGCAGACTGCACATTGCCCCCCCCCCCAGCGAGCTGGGTACTCATTTTACCGACCTTGGAAGGATAGAAGGCCGAGTCAACCTCGAGCCGGCTACCTGGGATTTGAACCCCGGGTGTCGCGAGCAGAGTTTTGGCTGCAGGACAGCGGTTTTAACCCCTGCGCCCGGAGGCTCACAGGCAGGGCCCAAGGTCTGGTCCCCTTCCCGCCCCATCTCGCTTCGGGTGAGCGCCCCGGCGACTCCCCGCCACCCCCTTCCTGGCCTCCAGGGCCCGCCTCCCTTTCGGGGCGCTGCGGCCTCTGCCTCACCCTCCGGCGGCGGCGGCGGCCCTCCTCCCTGGCGGCGGGGTCAGGAGGCGCCCCCGGGGCCCCC